TGATTCAAAATTGAGGCCATATTATTATAAATTTTGTAATGATTTGCTTACTATTTGATTTCCTCCAATTTTTCAGACGAATATTAAGACAGCAATTGTTGATGAAATCGGAGGTTCAGGAAGCCAAAGGTATTTCTTTAAAGACCACATGGGTTCCTTTCTGACTATAGTATATAACTTTAATTCTATCCGTATAAAGTTCCTCTAAACTAACAGAAAAAACTCAAAAGTTCAGGTATGTCTTTCAATATTATTTCTTTCTGAATATAGACTCTTTTTAGGCTTACGCAACTATATTTAGATACGAACCAAATGAGGACATGAATGAGAAAAATCAAGAGGATAGATACAGACCTCAAGATGAAGATGAACAAGAAAAAGGTGCTATATCTAGTGATACATTGCAAATGAGTGGTTTGTGCTACAGATTCACTACATGGCTGACACATATCATTTGAATTAACTCAGATACAGACGATAATTTTCAAAAATTGTCAGAATCAATGATTGGGAAAGTGGAAAGAACAGCACTGATAGTAGACTTTGTCAATTTGGAGGAAGTTTTCGAAGACCACTGTAAAGATTGCAAAAATATCTTTGAGTGAGTATAGTTGCTCCTGTGGTTTATATGAACTTAAAATATGTAGACTTACACGTTATTATCACCTTTTTATTAGCTTATGTCATAGTGATATAATGGATCTTAGACCTGCCTCACGATTCACAGAAAAAATCCCTGAAGTAATCTGGGAAAAATTCGTGTCAAATACATATCCCAAATACGAAATACCTGAAGCATGGGAAAAATTAGTACAAGATATCTTCAAGGTATGCTGCAAAATCTAGAAAAAGGTGAATTGCTTTTGGTTTGGCTAATTTTTATTATTCGTTGATGGCCAAGTAGCCAAAAGACTCATTAGCAGAATGGATGAAAACCTGGCACAGACTTTATGCAATTTCTGATGAAAATAAAAGCAATGGAGACCTGATTATCAAAGATGCAATATATAATATTCTTAACCTATAGTATGTTTAAGCTTTTATGATCCTTTATGCTTTCAATCTATTGTGTTAATATTTTGATTTTTATTCTTTTAGCATCGAAGCTTTCAAAGCACCATACAATATACTAAAATCAGACGACCTTGGAGAAAATCAGTACAATGCACAATTTGTAAGTCCAGTACTGAATAATGTGCTCAAGGCTGTTCTTAGTATTGACTGGAGAATGTAAGCGAATTCGATTATCCATCCTGAGAATATTCATCGGCAGTGATTAATTAACATTATGACATTACACTGTTATAGTCTCGAAGTCCCGGTTGAAAGTAGCAAACACCGACGTAATTCCAATATCAACCCAATTATTGATAAAGTTTTGGAAGCAAAACGTGCAGATGGTCTTGCCCCCTCTGGCAAAGCCATGAAGAAGTGCTCATATATGAACAGACAGGACCTCTGGACTTTGATGATGTTACTCAATTTTACATACATGATTATAAGTTGGTTTGAGCCATGAGGGATGTGTTAAATCAAAGAATAACCCTTCGTCTTAGAGATGGGATATCTGATCATAAAGACCTAGCAAGCTTTGGTGCCTTTGGCCTGTTGTGTAATTTTGAGGGTTCTGGGACAAAACCTGGATTTTTTATAAAATTTTATCTAGTTTATAGCTACATCACT